TTGTGTCGATAGCGAGTGGTTGGGGTTTGGGCTGTGATGTCTTTATTTAGTGGTTTATGGGTAAGGGGTGAATTCGATGGATTGTGTATGGTATAGCTTGAAAGTGTGGGTGTACTAACGCTGTCGGAATTGCTTGTGTATTAATGTGTCGTCGATATTTGATCGGTATAATAGCTGTTGGTACGGTTGGGTTATGTTGGTTGGACGTTTGATCCCGTACCGGCTGGGTCAACTGCGATTGTTTGGCGAGACGAATCGTCATCCAAAACGTCCTATACTTTCAGGTGATCAAAGGTAAAATCAGCCTGAAGAACGTCCACTTCTCGTATCCAACTCGACGACGGCAAAAAATTCTGAAGGGAATCTCGCTGAACGTCCGCGACGGCGAGACTTTGGCCCTGGTGGGACATTCTGGCTGTGGCAAGAGCACAATTATGGCGCTGCTCGAGCGTTTCTACGACGTCAACCGGGGAGATATTGTCCGTTGATTTTTCGTTAATTTTATTCCTTTTCATTAGTATTAGCTAGCTTATTAGTTAGTATTTATTAATATTGATTAGTTTTAGCCAGTGCTTTTCTTGTTTTAAAAAACATGTGTATAATTTTCTTGTGTATAATACTAATAATGAATGTTATTTTGCAGTATGTCGATGGTGAGAACATCCGCGACGTGAACATAAAGTCGCTAAGGAATCAGATCTGCATCGTCAGCCAGGAGCCAGTTCTCTTCGACTGCACTATCGAAGAGAATATTCTCTACGGGTTATCCACTCCGGATAACAATATTATCGACAATAATGTATATAAAAATGATAATAATAATAAATTGACACACGAAAATGTGGTGGCGGCCGCGAAATTGGCCAATATACATCAGTTCATCTTATCGCTTCCACTGGTAAGACTTAATGTTGATGTTTTGTTAATGTTTTTGAAGAAGTTATTCGATGACGTCATCTTAAACGCGATGATTACAGGGCTATGAGACGCGTGTGGGCGAGAAGGGCACACAGCTGTCCGGCGGTCAAAAGCAACGCTTGGCGATCGCACGCGCGCTCATACGCAACCCGGCGGTGTTGCTGCTCGACGAGGCCACGTCGGCGTTGGACACCGAGAGCGAACAGGTTAGGGGATTACTGTAATAATGATTACGGTACGGTATTACGGTCCTGTAATCCATCGATTACGATGGATTACCTTAGAGGTTACTGCAAGTTATGTTGTATTTCAGGTGGTGCAAGAGGCGCTGGAGAACGCGCGCAAAGGGCGCACGTGCCTGGTGATTGCGCACCGCCTTTCGACGGTGCAAAACGCCGACTCGATCGCGGTTCTGGACAACGGGCGAATTGTGGAAAAAGGTGAATTTTGTTTTCATTTTACGCAAAAATAATGTAAAATATGCAGAAATAATAGCAAAATGAGTTAGAATAACAGCAAAAATAGTGAAAATAGTATTAGATAAGAGTAAATAGCAGCGAAAACAGTTAGAATA